GAAAGAGAGCACCATCTTCACAGATTTTATAATAGCTGACAAAGTAAAAGTCCGTGCCAATGTGTTGTTGCTAAGCTCAAAACTGGTCTGACCAGCTTCAACCCCAATGGCTGCAACCTGTTTTGCCGGAGAATTTTACTCCTTGATCTGATCTTGGTTTTATTTACAGTCATATTTGAAATTGTAAAAAAGCAGAATCTGGTTTACTCTTGCTCTTCTGAAGACCTTGACGTTTTCTCCCTTGCCATAGAACAGTTTCAAGAAACAGCCAAATTCAGACCTGGATTATGTTGATGTAGGTCTACTGGAATCAGTGAAGTTGCATCCTTGTTAATATCTCCTTTCAATATTTGGATTCTACAGTCTTCTCTAAGGTCAATAAACAGGTCACAGAAATACTGCACAAGTGATGGCCAGCCAGATCCTCACATGGTTTAAATTGGCACAATTTGACCAGTGCCACAGTCGCTATTAGCAAATAAAATTGCAGCCTAAAATGCTCATTGCAAATTTCATGCTAATTTTCATGACAGTACACAACACTATATTAAATCCAGAGGCTTGAGAACAGCATGTAATTCACCTTCACAGAATCACAGAATCACAGAATAGTAGGGGTTGGAAGGGACCTCTGTGGGTCATCTAGTCCAACCCCCCTGCCGAAGCAGGGTCACCTACAGCAGGCTGCACAGGACCTTGTCCAGGCGGGGCTTGAATACCTCCAGAGAAGGAGACTCCACAACCTCCCTGGGCAGCCTGTTCCAGTGCTCTGTCACCCTCAGAGGGAAGAAGTTCTTCCTCGTGTTCAGACGGAACTTCCTGTGCCTCAGTTTGTGCCCATTGCCCCTTGTCTTGTCACTGGGCACCACTGAAAAGAGCTTCATGACATTGTATAAGGAAAGTCAGTAAATACTATTTTTAAGAACCGAGGACACAAAGACAGAAATTCAAGCCACCATCTTCAAAAAGTGTCCTTGGTTTGAGAGTATATAGTTCCAGTTGCCCAGTTCAGACCAGAATTTCAAGCATAGAGCACTCACAGTTCCAAGCAAGTCAAGAGGGAAGTTCACATATACATCCTGCGGAAAAGTTACAGACAATTTACTCCCAGTTGGGCCTTTAAAACAGAAGCCCCAGAAGGGAGTGTCTCCTTCTGAAAGGCTTGAGTCACAACCACAGGAAAATATCAGGTTCAGAGAGCTGAAAGAGTTTTGTTAAGCAGGCACAGATGTCAGAGGCAGGATTTAAAGCATCAGTTCCTGTTTCCAGACTGTAAGACTGATCCAATAAAGCCAAATCCGGTTTCCGTTTAAAGATAAGACAAAAAAGACAACAATAAAATACTTACTATATAAAATATCTTACTTTATATATACATAGCCATATGTATGTATAATTATATATTGCTATTGCTTAGTATATAAGTACTGGGAAGTAATAGCCAGACTTATTCTGAATCAGAAGTCCTTTCTTTGACTGTTTGTTACTATTTTACAACTTCGCTTTACAAATTATTTGTTGAAGTAGCGAGAGGATTTTTTTTCCAGGTAGTCCTTCAGAAAAGGATGCTGATATGCAATTCTGCAAGTAAAACAAGCTATGCAATGGAATTTTTTGTACTGTCAGGGAGAACTTACTTTTAACAGCAACTGGTATTTGGTGATTCTCTGGACTGGCTTTAAGAGATAAGCATCCAGTGACAGCTTATGATCCAATTTACGCTGACATTCCTGTAAAGGACAACAGAGAAGAAAAACACCATTGCTTCTCGAAGCACAGGCAAGGCACCAACACCATTATCATTTGGTAATCTGAAGATTATTTGTCTGCAAATTAATTGAGAGAGAAATTTGCTCCATCTGCCTCGGAATTTCCAAGTTACTTATGCCAGAAAGAAAATATATCTAAACAAGAGTTAATGTTTAGGTTCAACTTAGTGTCAAAATCTGGCATGCCTGGCTCATGAGCTTGCAGTCATCTGGGGTTTGCAAAGAAGCCAGCACTCCTTTGGTTTGGGTATAGCCTGAAGAGTCAGGCTCCCGTCCAGGGAATTTGCTTTGCTACTCTCCCTACCTAGCCTCCTCCAGAGAGCACCTGGACACATGCTGAGCACCTGCCCGCAGTATAAGAAGCATGCAGAAAAGTCCGTCTATTTCTTTAAGTTTTCTAAAGAAAGAAGAGACACAGAAGGAAAACAAGCTTTGATAGTCTTGCACTGCTAGTCTGCAGTGAAATTCCACCTGAAAAAAGATGCTGTCTCCACATTGTCTCCAGAGAGCTTCAGACCTTGGCTTATTCTGACAGTATTTTTCATATATTTGGAGGTCCTCTTTCTGCAAGAAAAGGAGAGTTTAAGTAAGATAAGAAAAAAGAATCCACGGAGCATCTGCCTTGAGTTACACTTTTTCTTACCTTCCATCCTAACACATGAAGTAATTAAATCATGGTGATAGCACTGTATGTAAAAAACATACTAAAGCTACCAAACTTGTTTTTTACTCCTGTAAAGTTAAATACACCTGGAAGTGAGATTTTTTTTTTTCTCTCATTTTTTGCACAAAGCAAGGAGACTGCAGACTGGAAGACACACAATCTAATTGCAAAACTGTTATTTTCCAGAGAGCGGAAGAGATGGTTTGAAAACAAACAAAAAAAAACATTAAAATTTAAATTTTTTAACAGTACCAGCACAGACTGGCAATTGCTAACAATACTCACCACTTAGCCAAGGTTTACATGTGCAAAACACTTAGAAAAAAGCGTTGGCTCTCAGTAGTACAAGGATTAATTCACAAGTGGCCAGTTTGTCTTGTTGAAGTCCTAAGCTAGGCAGGGGGAATGCTTAAACTCTGTCCTACCCAGACTGGAAGTGGGTGGATTGACTTGACCCCTATTTACCTTTGATGACACTCCAGGTGTTCTTACTCAAGTCCATGGCAAAAAAATCTCACTGACTTCAGTGAAAACAAAGGCAGTCTCTACAAAAGCCCAGAGGTGTATTTTAAGCTTTCTAGGCCATAGGGGTAGATACAGATGGAGAGGTGCTCCTCCACCAGGTTCTTGGCTCACCAGCTGTGCACCAGGTTGGCACAGGAGCCCAGCAGTCACACGGCCATGGAGTAGTGCCCTACAAATTCTGGGCTGTGTCTGACCAGCTGGGACCTTTCCGTCTTTGTCTGCACCTATCCTAGTAGACATGACCTGAGTGAATCAAAGACAGAGCCAAAATTAAATCTCTGGAATTCCTGGCTCTTGCCTCTGTTTTCGGCCCACTAGACAGTGCCTATACTCTTGGTGTGGGGAAAGCATTTTCTTTTGTATAGAATTACCAGAAGAAATCGGTATTGCTGCGGTCTTCCTCTACAGACCTATACCGGCGTCACCCTGATGAATCACATGTGGAAGCGGAGCTATGCCATCCAACACCTTCCTGCGTTAAGGCTTATGCAATACAAAAACCTCTGTTGCAACTCCATAGAGTATTAATGGTGCTGTTTCAAAACAAGCACGGAGTATTCTTCACACAAATAGAATTGTTTGTACATGTTGCCTTGGAGGGAAGCTAGCAGGGGGTAAACCCCACAAAACTAAAAGTAATAACAAAGTGTAATCCAGCATTACAATTTGTTCTTGGCCCACAGAAATCTAATTGGACTGGGCAAGAAGAACAGAGACAGCAACAGTCAAGAGCACTATTCAAAGAAAAGTAACAATTTAAATTTAAAGAAAAGGTACAATAATCAACAATTTAGTAGTAATTTTTTAGAGTGAAACCACCCTGTGCCAATGTAATCTACTGATGCCTAAATCAGCAACACGTACTCAGGCAGATACTTACATCTTTAAATACAGCTTTAAGATTTGTCATAGTGTAAGGAACAGGAAATTCCTGATTAAATTACTAGGATCAGACTCTAAAATGCCAAGAAATAATTAATTGCCTAATTACTCAAATCCCAGTCTTGAATGTTCCACACATTGCTCTCTTCATATCCAGAGGTTCTGATTTCTCACTCGTACTTTTACACCATGCTCATCTCTCCTGTAGCGCTTTTCCTTTCCACGGTGATTTGCATCCTGAGATCTTTGTAAGCTCTCATGCCCATGGCACATACGCACAGTTCCAACTATTTTTTTTGACTGCTGATTTGTGAATAAATTTTGCTTCAGATTAGAATTCAGGTCTTTGAATCCAACTTGCAGGCCAGCTGCTACAATCCTTTCACAGATAAGGATTCTAAAAAGCTTCTAAAAGCTTCTAAAAGCTTCCGTTTCCAAAAGCTTCTTTCTCCCCAAATGACCAAAGGCCCCAGCTGCTGGCTCCTGTTAAATTATTCTCTTTTTCCAAGGTTAGTAATATGAAGAAGGAAACAGTGGTAATCCACAGTGAGTCACTCCTGCCAAGCACCTCACCTGGCACATGTTGGTAAGCAGCCTGACACACCTTTTGTTTCTTCCTGGGCATTCTTGCCCTGGCTCGGAAATCTTTCCTTCTTGCCAGCCCCGTGTTTGGCAGATCAGCTCAGAGCGTCCCTCTTGTTTCTGACAAAGCACTAGAAAACCCATCCTGCAAGGCATTCGGCACACATCCCTTCTACGAGCATCTGTGCAGTCCTTGCCACAGAGAGCTCTAAGCAAGGTCAAGCATCTTGGTGATGGTGTAATAGCTGCCATGTGGGCAAAGCTGAGCTGGCTTACTTGTAATTTAGTTCACATGAAGATCATACCCTAACAAGGCCAGGCAAAGTGGGACGGAGGACAAGAGGGGCATTTCTGGCTCCACCTTCCACCTGATTCTGCTACCATGTTCCAGGAGAGAAGCCAGTTAGGAGAAATAGGCTGGGACTGCACAGACTGTTTCTGTCATCACCTGAGAAGAAGGGTTCACATCCATGGTGACAGCTGACCAGGTGGCACTGGCGGAGGTGGGAGAGTGTGTGGGGACGTGGCAGAGGAATGACTGGCAGAGGATGGAGGGACTCAGGCCGCAGGGTGTCTCACTGGAGCTCTCAGGAGGCTTTCAAGCAGCTCTGGAATCAGGGCTGAAAAGTCCCAGCACGATCAGACAGGGTAATATTCTTCAAGTGTGAATCTAAAAATCAGTCTGTTTCTAATCACAGGCCTACCACAATGTTGTGGCGGGATGGTTACATCCATACAAAGAAGGAGAAATGGGGAAGTAAATCTGCAACA